ATACATATATATATATATATATATATATATGTATATATATACTAATGTTTTAACTTGTTGGGACCTGAACTATGATCACCATAGGAGCTAAAATAGTATCGAATAAATAATCATTTTGAAGAAGATTCCAACAGAAAATATTTAAGCATTAACATCTTTTAGAATCTTCTTGAAAAATTCTATATCTTATTGTTTTTCCAAAGATTAAACAAACAATGCTTACCGCAATTTGAAGTCAGGATAGACCATCCTGTTAGGGAATCCTTTACGACAGATACGAATGCCTTCAAGTACACCGTTACAAGTTAACTGATGCATGACTAGGTAAGAATCGATGACACCTGGCTGTTTCATTTCATTAGGGATGATACAACGGACGAAGTGAGGTTGAGTTGCTCTTAGAGTGGTCATCAAATTGTTCAACTGTTCCCTATAAGACGAAGAGACAGTGGAGAAACCACCGCCCTTCTTACCACGTCCACCTTTGCCACCACCGCCACCACCACCAGCATCACCAGATTGGCCTGGATGATCGGCAAAGATTTCAACGAGCAATTTATTGCCTGATTTTTTGAATTGATCGACGACCGAATCGTTTAGGGGATCCTTGTTCTTTTCTAGCCAGCCAGTGATGTTGTAGGGTACCTAAACATTTTTATATTAGTATATGTATATCGTTTTTAATTTTTTTTCTTTTTTCTTCAATAAAATAGTATACAGGTTATCTCTGTAGGAGTAGGTGTAATACATTGGTGTAATTTTTGGGAAAGGAGGTGATTTTGTATAAAAAAACTAAGTCGAAAATTTAAAATAACATTTTTTCATTCCTTCCACCTGTTGTACCATCTGAGATACCCTGTACATAATTGTTAATAAGTAACAAGAATAATTAAGAAAACATACGTTGCCAGCATAATGTCCAATGGCAAAGTGAGCTGCTTGCTGACCAGGTTTAGGTGGTTTGGGTTTCAAGAAATTTGGACTCTTGCCCAAGTGATTGTTGTTCAATTTTTCTTCAAAGGTCTTATCAGTGGCCTTGGGGAACATAGACTCTTCTTCAAGAATCGAGAGGATACCCATGGGCTATTTATCCGAAATAACACAAAAAAAAAAGAAACAACAGAGAGAGATTAATAACATGATTTTATATAATATATAATGAAAACCAAGAGTAGCGTTATGCAAAATTACACGAGTAAAGTTTAATTCATCAGAACTCAATATTCTAATCAAAGAATAACTTTCTGCGATAAGCAATTAGTCATTTAAAAAGAAAAAAGAAACTGAGATTTTATGTATATATATATATATATATGTATGTATACATTGTGCAACGAGCTGTTAAACTCCTACAATTATATCGGTTAATTGTTTGATACTGAAAAAAAAACGCTACTCTTAGTAGATTCACTTTATTATATATACATATTTTTTGTTTTTTTTTATCTATTTTAATAATGAATGATACTATTCGATATGAATAAGATATTACATTTTGATTGAAAATTTCAAACGTAATACTTTTTCTTCGAATAGTTATCATCGTGTTCTTCTTTCCACTGGACAAAGACGATAACGGGTATATAAATGTAAAATAGCACATAAATAAAACAATGACAAAACACACAGGTGCAAACATATAAAAACTTTATATATCGAAGCAAGCAAATGGTATTGTTGCGGCTAATTTCTTTCTTTTTATGAGTCGAGCTGGACGCTCGCGAATGAGAGAACTCTCGGCTTTACCTTTTCGATCAAATCGATCGTCGACTGCAAGTCCATACCAAAATCGATAAAAGTCCAAGGAATACCCTCGCGTTCGTATTCTTCTTGTTCCAAGATGAACATATGATGATTGAAGTATTGCTGTAGTTTTTCGTTCGTAAAGTTGATGCAGAGTTGCTCGAAACTGTTGAACTGCATCATCCGAGGACGAAGAAGAAGAAGAAGAAGAAGAAGGAGCAGGAGAAGAAGAAGCGAACACGCACAAACAGAGAAAGAAAAAAAGAAAACAGAAAAAACTAGAAAAAGGTTCAAAGCCCAAATCAATTTTTGTCGAGGACAATCACATTGGTCTCGTCTGGACTTCTCGTCTCTTTTTCCTTCCTTGTGGGATAATCAGGATCTCTAATATTTTTTTCTTATTCACGTGCAAAGCTTTTTTTTTGTTCTCAATTCATTTTGCAAATACGATATCTCGAATTAAATGCGTATTATCTTGAACAGTCGATAGACACTTGCTTGAAATATTTCTAGTATAAGAGGAGAAGTTCTTTTTTCTCTCTTTTTTTTTTTTTTTTTATATATAAATTTCGAATAGATCAAGTCTATGACCATTTGATAGAACGCATAAATGAAAAAGATGATGAGACAATGATAAGGATAGACACATATAGATAATGGAAATGTAAGTATTCTGGAAAGAATAATAGTTGGTTAGTCACGATCGAGCAATAAAGTCTAATGTAATTCCACATGCTCGAGCAGCCATTCGATTCTCATAATTCATCCTTCGATCCTTCCGCCAATTGATCGCCACAATGTTTCGGTCACAATGTTTCTTTTATAAAACATTATCGTGCCAAACTTGTTTTTCCTCGTCAGAAAGCTTGGCTCGGAAATACCTTCTCTATAAGATCAATCGTCTGCTGTAGATCCATTCCAAAGTCAATGAAAGTCCATTCGATTCCTTCCCTTGTATATTCTTCTTGCTCGAGAATAAACATGTGATGATTGAAGAACTGTTGCAATTTCTCGTTGGTGAAGTTGATGCAGAGCTGCTCAAAACTGTTGAACTGCTCGACCAAGGGGTGTGGAAGGGTAAAGCGGAGAACAGAAAAGAAAGGCATAAACAGCCGTCATTAATGCTGCTTATCATGATTTTTGTCATATTTTCGTTTTCCTTTGGTGGAGACAGTGGGTTGGAGGAGAAAGGGAAGAGGGCAGCTTTTTTATATGAATAAAAAAGAAGAAGATAGCTAGAGAATGCTCATGGGATTATGCAAGTTTTTAAAGGGTTGCGCGTCTGGTGTAGGACGGGTGATAAATTACAACCAATTGAAACCAATTGACCAAATAGGACTGAATAGGTTTCAAAATGTTTGTTCTGTCGTCAAAAGGATGATAGGTACACAAAGATATGTATATGTATGTATGTATGTAGATGATATAGAAAAAGCGATAATTGATCATGTCGAATTATATTGTTGTATAACATGATTATGTTTCGATCACTTATTATCACAAGGAAGTATCAAATATGAGATAGTCGGAGATATATTATCCCTTTGAAAAGATCTCGTAATTGCTAATTAAATAGGTATAGGCATATATAGACGAAAGTAGAAGAAGGAGAGCCTTCTTATAGATTCGTCCGTCGATTTATAATTTCCATGCAAATGCTACACTTGTTCTCATGTATTTTTTCTATTTCTTTCACGATGAGCATCGAGAAAAAATAAACACATGATTATAATGTGGGTTCAAGGGGTTGCGCATAAGGGGTACTCGTACTAGGTACCTTATTATTCGACAATATCGTGTTCCAAAGATTATCGTCGAATAGACAAGACAAACAAATGGCCAATGTACTACTTTAGCAAAACAGAGTTGGACCGATTCGGAAATTCTGATTTTCCTCTCTCCACGGTCATTTTCTTGTTGCCGATCATCATTACAATCATCATCATCATCACCATCGTCATCGTCGTCGTCGTCGTCGTCGTCGGCACGATTCATCATCCTTGTTACTTTCTCTCTGACTTTTTTTCTGATACATCTTTCCTAAAAGATGTCTTCGTGTTTACTTATTAATTATTGGCCAATACCTTTTCGATGAGCTCTATACAAGCAGCCAAATCCATTCCAAAATCTATAAATTCCCAATCGATGCCTTCCTTCTTGTATTCCTCTTGCTCGAGTACAAACATGTGATGATTGAAGAATTGTTGTAATTTCTCGTTGGTGAAGTTGATGCAGAGTTGCTCAAAGCCATTGAACTGTATTTTGTTTATCAGCGAACCATTTCGTTGTTGCATGCGCATTTGCATGTAGTACGTGCGGGATGTGCGTTGATTGATCGATTGATTGATTGATGCACGGGAAGTGAGAAGTGAAAACGAAAAAGAGAAACACAGGAAGAAAAAGAACAATCATTATAATGCATGCCATTTTTCTTTTGATGTGGATTGTGGAGGAAAAAAAAAATAAAAATAAAAAGAGAGAAGGTGGAAATGGTGTGTAGCCTAGTGTTTCGATGTTTCGTTTTGCCATGTGTATGAGACATTTTTTTGTTCTGAATTTCTATAATAAATAGATCAAAATCGTTGGATCAAAAGCATTTGCAGGACGATTCGACAAAATTGGAACAACAATTGACGAAGATAGATCACTCGTTGATCCGATGATAATAACTAGGGAACTGGCTAAGTAGCATGACGAAATCGAAATCGAGTTAAAAAATAATGAGAGGGGGGAAAAAAAGAACAATGGAAAATATATCACAGATAAGGCAGGATGAAAAAAAAAGGGTTTGACGATGAGACAAGAAAACAGTGGACGATCACTTTTGCTGTCAATCGAAAAGCGTTAATTAATGGAAAAAAAGAAAAAAAGAAAATATGCAGCTCTCCGTGAGGAAATTTGTTCACGGATAAATTGATCCATATTCTCTTTCCTTAGAGATGGATTCGATTGCAGTATTTTGTTGTTGCTCTATTTTGTTTTTTGTTTTTTTTTTTTGTCATCTTGATACCTTCTCAATCAATTCGATACATGCGAGGAGATCCATGCCAAAGTCTATGAACTCCCATTGAATGCCCTCCTTAGTGTATTCTTCTTGTTCGAGGACGAACATGTGGTGGTTGAAGAATTGTTGAAGCTTCTCGTTGGTGAAGTTGATACAGAGTTGCTCGAAGCTGTTGAACTGTTCGAGCAAGAAATATAGATGCATGCTTTTGTGGTCAGAGGAATCAAAGTTGATTAAACAGGCCCAATCTTCGATATTCCTTATTTTGTGTATTTGTTTCTTTTTTTTTTTTGCAGTATGAGATTATGACTGTTTTTAATATCTCATTTCTACAAACACTGGGCACGAATAGAAATTTATCGTGCTTTATGCGTACGAATGATTATTGTCATATTAAAAGATCGTTTCTCTTTTTTCTTTTTTCTTTACAGAAAAACGTATTTCTATTAAAGTACTTCTACTGAAAATGTATTAGTCTATTGTCAACTACTACTGTAAATGTAGTTTACGAACAAATCCAAATTGTCAGACTACAAGTAATTTAGACCGTCTCTTGTTCCTTCATGGACGGTTGAACAAGTACGTTTCTACTTGTTTTAAATACATTGTTAATATTTTCTATGTGAGGTCCACTGTTTCTGCATTCATTATAAGATTTATATACAATATACGCATATATATATATATATACACACACACACACATATATATATATATATATATATATATATATATATATATACGTACACTCTTGTCATTACCTATCGATTTTTTCGCTGACTGCAATTTTCCAGAACGTTGAGAGAGAGAGAGAGAGAGAGAGATTTCTTCGAGATTAAAAAATAACAAATAGAAATAGGAGGAAAATCCTTACGAGAAATAAAACATTTTGTTCGGAGACTCACCATGCTTTCTAAATAAAAATTAGGGTAAACATCTGAGAAGACAAATTTTTCTAAGGAAAAAAAATCTACACTATTGTACAAAGGGGTCGGGGTGAGAGGGGGGTGGTTCAAATACTTCAAAGATGGGGAAAACGATGAACACTGTCATAAATAGAATCATGAAATTTGAAATGTATTAGAGAATATTCAATGTCAATATTTGATATCATCTGTCGCATTTGAAATATTTCTCTAAAAATATAACTATCTAATGAGAAGAAATGTCTTTGGAAGATCATGTATGATTCATGCCTATGGTTAAACAAAAAAAGTAATGGTTGGAGAACAAAGATAATTACGAATGAGAAATAAAAACAATTGATAGGAAGAGAAGATCTACTATAATACCATCTAAATCGTGCTACAAATTTGTAAGAAAAAACATTCAGGATATTGTCCAGAGATAATTGAAGAAGAACAAATATTTCTTTTGGGATGATATGGGGTGGTCCCTCAAAAGAGGCTACCTTCTCAATTAGCTCGATACAAGCTAGCAAGTCCATTCCAAAGTCAATGAACTGCCATACGATTCCTTCCCTTTTATATTCCTCTTGTTCAAGTACAAACATGTGATGGTTGAAGAATTGTTGTAATTTCTCGTTGGTGAAGTTGATGCAGAGTTGTTCAAAACCATTGTACTAAAGGACGAAATGAATTTATGGGGTCAGGGTAGAATTACGATTGAAAATTATCAATTGTTTATAAATCATGTGATCGAAGATATGTATGATATGTAAAATATCATTTTCTTCTCTTTCCGTTTGATTCTCGAGATAGTCCTTTACTTTTGCTTTACTATGAATAAATGAATAAGAGTCGAGTTGTTGTGTTATAATCGAACATCGAATGTTTCATTAATTATTTATGTAAAATTATACATAAATAAAAAAGAAAAGAAAGAATCAATGTTCAGAAAATATCTTATGTGTATAAGAATTAAATATATGTTGAATTTTTATGACCTCCAACACGTCGACGACTTTTAATTAACAAGCACTAAATAAACATTGAATTTAATTTAAGTCGTCGTCGATTGGTTTAACGTTTTCTTTGCTATAATCCTTTCAAGGATATTAATTAATATGAAAGAATACTTACGTCGAAAATCTCAAAACCAGCAATATCTAGTACACCAATAAAATGTTGTCTCTTTTGTTGAGTATCCAGGGTCTCGTTACATTTCTTCACCAACCATTTGAATAATCTGTCGAACATTGCTTTCGACATAGCACCTACGGAATAGGCTACTTGATCTTTGTTACGACCTTGGGTGACGAACTCATTTCCGACCTTGATCCTTGGTTTCAATAAGTTCTTGTAAAGATCGGCACAGTCGCAATTAAGAAGTTTCGCGACTCTTTCACCTTCCTATAATTTAGAAAATATTTTTAATATTTTTGCTATGGCAATAAATTAAACAACTTTTTTATGGATAAAAAATTACTCTGAAATTACTTTTTCATATATTTAGAGAAATAAATATAATGCATAAAGTATGCAGAATTAAAAGAAAAGAAATAATGCTTTGCGATATATATATATATATATATATATGTATAAAAAAAAAAAAACATTTATAATTTCAAATATTTTTCCTAGTCAAATTGAAATATTTTCTTCACGCACCTCTGTACCATCAGCTTCAGCCTGTTCTTCTCGACCCCTTTGTTTGAACTTCATACCACCCATGTGCATAACAGCAGCAGTGATCTTGTAAATGTTATCCTTTTCTTCTTGCGTGAAGCCCAGCACGTCAAAGGCTTGCTATAGACATGAAAAATATTACGTTAATTATCCAAAATTTAAAAAATTTTCTCATGACAGGAATGATGATTGATATTTAAGAAATTTTGAAAATTTTTAAAAAGCAAAATTCTAAGATTCCTAAGAAGTGCTCAAAAAGATCAAACATTCCTGACATGAAGATAATTATCTCATCTCATAATTAATATTTATATATATAATGCTTGTTAACTTAAGGCTTTTTATTTGCGGATGCTTGATTAATATAATAAAAGCACACAAGGACGAGAGACAATCGACGTTATTTTGTTAAACGTCAAAGTAAACTTAAATAAAATAAAATTAAAAAGATATCTGAATCAAGCTACTATTTTATTACTTTGACGTTTCACAGATTATCGTCGTATAAGCGATCTTGTCATAGAAATAAATAAATCTTTATAGAAGCGACATGAAAAAGAAGCGTTGCTTAAACTATAGCAAAGAAAAAGAAAAAGAAAAAGAAAAAAAGAAGAAGAAGAAAAGATATGAACAGATAGAAAAAAATTGCTGAAGCTGAAGCTGAGCTCGTGTCGTGTAGCCGCTTCTTCCCTAAGCTTGAATCTCATTGAGATAAAAACAAAAAGCAAAAGACAGTAGACATGTTGAAAAAAATGCTTTGACTGTAAATATTTATCTCAATATATCAAAACACCGAACAACAATAATAATAGTAATAATAATAATTAGAAAGAAGAAAAACAATATGCAAGCAAAGAATATAAAAAAAAAATAATCGTTTACAAACGATTATTATTCTCACGTAATGATTTTTACCAGAGCTTTCTCTCATATCGAAAGAAAGAAAATAAAAAAGGGAGAACAGTTTTGGTCCCTAGAGAGCCTAACTCAGAGATAGGTAGAAAGAAAAAGAGAGAGAGAAAGAGGAGATGCCTGTTGAAGGTTGCTTCCTCAGCTACATTTTCCGCCGTCCTTAGTGCTTTCTCAAGGTCTAAGTGATGAAAAAGAGAGAGAAAGAGAGAGAGAGAGAGAGAGAGATAGAGGTAGTATTCCACGTCTTGGAAGATATCAGAGTTCAACGTGGTCCAAAACTGAGATCATACGTTGGATATATAATTCAACAGAGAAGGATATCAAATCAAATAATTAACTACATGTCAAAATAAGTATTTTCATATCATAAGAATAAGAATGATATTCTATTTCTATTTTTTTTCAACATGATCATTTTTCAATAAAAATCCTAACAAAAAGATATTGAGCTAATCGATAGACTCAAAGAAATTATTTTGTAAAATAATCATATAAGGAAAGAATATCATTCGTATCTTAATTCTCCAGGTTAAAGTACTGGTTTCAAATTGGGAAACAAAGGAATTAAAGATAATCTAATATGATTAGAGAAAGTAAGAAATTAGAAATATGGTTTATATGTCGGATCACCAATTTCTAATTGATACTTTCCGTAATATGATTACTTTACGTAATCATATTTATACAGGGTACTACCAAAATCAATTCGTTGTAGTATCTACAAACAAAGAAGATGATAACTACGATCAACATAGTATAATAAAGTGATCGAATCGAATAAGGATTCTCAAAGGTACAGTCTACAGAAATGGAAAATCAATGATAATGGGGAAGAAGAAGAAGTAGGATAAAAGATATATCAAAAATCGAAGATTTTCCTTTTTTATAGATTGAACTTACATCAGTAAGTTGACATTCCTCGCCATCGTCGACGTTGGGAATCGTGGTTTTTCCTTGAGCGACGTTGTGATAGTCATGTATGTTGTTGGATAAGAAACACATTTCTGCGAAGCATTATGAAGAAGATGGACAATTTGTAAAATGAATAAAAATTCACTTTCCTAGTTGAATCCATTCCTTTTTTTTCTAATCCTACATGTATATATATATATATATAAGTATATAAAAGATCCTAAACGAGATGAAAAATCCCTACGAGAAACGGCTGCCGAGGACGATGATATATAATTATACAAGGTGAGTGATAATGCTGATCGGGGAGCGAGTAAGTTGGGGGATGATTCCTTCCTTTTTCATTATTACTTTCCTAGCTTCGAACGTCCCCCAATCTCCCCGCACCCCGATTGCGCCGGCAAGCAGCTTTTGCAAGCGGGGGAGCGAGGGGATGGTTCCTGTCGAATCTTCATCCAGATTTCATGCCACCTTGATTAGAAAACACACTATGATTAAAATATTTTCTACAAAAATATGTGTATACGCAGATAGAGAAAGAGAGATCTAGCATGAATGAAATTTTGAAATAATTAACAAAACTATAAGAAACAATAATTAAATAATTAAAAAAAATTTATTTATTACTATTTCATATTCTTAATAAACGTAATTTTGAATAAAAGCTAAACATTTATTATTCAACAAACATTTAAAACATTATCGGACTCTATGTAAATCTTATATTTTATTTATAATCATTTCGTCAAAGTTTTATTACTCTGATATAATGATAAAAAAAAAAAAAGGGAGAGAGAGAGTAAGAAAGAAAAAAAAAGAAAGAAGGAAGAAAAGACGATCAAGGCGACATGAACTTTGGTGAGAATCGCAGGTACCTTTGGGGGATGGACTTACGTCCGTTTCTTCCATGTCAGAGGCGTCGTTGACTCCCGGAATTCTTGTCTTACCCTGGCTAATATACCAGTAGTCTCCAATCCGGTTGCTCAGGAAGGTCATTTCTGTATTATACGATATCCCCTATCTTATGTACGGATTCGTTACGAGCACTAATATCGTTAATTTCTTTAAAAAACGATAGAGTGCTCGTAAATGTATTTTAAACGTGAAGAACTTTTCAACAAACATATTATTCGAGACAGATCAAAAGTTCTTTACGTATGAATACGACATATGTTACATGTAATGATAATTGCTGAAAAAAAAAAAAAAAACAAACAAAAGCAATAGATAGATAGGCAAAAAGTGAAAAACGAAAAAAGAAAAGAAGAAGAAGAGAAGAAGAACAAGAAGAGTAGTAGTAGAAGTAGAAGAAGAAGAAGAAGAAGAAGAGAAACTGAAAGTACAGTAAAAAGTATCAAAGTTCCCAGTGTCCATTCTAATGTAGCTGTAAAAATGTGGATGATTATCATAAATCTTTTGTACAAGGTGTAGGCACATAGAACGATAGAGCTGAAAGAGAATACACGAAAAGAGAGAAAGAAAGATAGATAGACAGATAGATAGATAGATAGAGAGAGACAGAGATAGATACAGACAGAGAGAGAGAGAGAGAGAGAGAGAGATATATATATAAGAAGAGGCAGGCAGACAGAGACAGACATAGAGACAGATCCTACATAAAAAAAAACACATAGCAAAAGATTAAGCAGATTGAGTAAACACAAGGCAATAAGAGAAAATCATAAAAAAAAAAAAAAAAAATAATAATAATAATAATAATAATGAAAATATATATTATTATTATTAAACAAATCCTGAATCTGCTATTCTTCCAGGATGAAAGGTTGATCGCATTGGATAAAATGATTAGAATCGCATGCACTTACGTCGGTAATTAAAAGTTCCTCGCCATCATCGAGACCAGGAATAGTCGTCTTCCCTTGTGACACAAAGTAGTAGTCGTGGATGTTGTTGGACAGCAGCAACATCTCTACAAGTGTCGGAAGAAAAAGAAAAAGAAAACATGCAGGTGTTAGAGAAATCAAACAAACGA